CCCCCACCCCTTTTTTTACCTCCCTGGGGTGCCCCAAGACCAGCTGCAGTCATGAAGCTGCCCAGCAGCAGCAGGCAGCTGTGCCAGTGGTAGCACTGGAAGCATCTACGACCCTGAGAGAGCTTGTCTTCTGGGCCAGAGGAACCAGGAAAAGGGACTCCTGTGGTCAGGGAGTGTGGGAAGAGTCCCTGTTACATTTTTCTGACTCGTCTCTCATTGCTTCATCTCAAGGTCGGCCCAACTGTGAGAGAGTAAAGGGAGCCAAAACTCTGAAAAAAAACCCCGGCTTTATAGCCAGAGGACTGGGAATAGGGGACTGGAGAGTGTGAGAGAAATTCCAGAGAGGAGAGAGCTAGAAATCTTTTAATTCTATGTATGCATCAAAACAAGTCTCAGGTTTACTCCCAAGCTGCACATAAAAAACAGATCCAAAGAAGCATAGGCTTGGAGAATTTAACAGACATTATAAATACAACCCACAGAATGTGGGACAGAACTTGCACTCTGATCTTCAAGATTTTGCTTGCTTAAAACAAACAAACAAACAAACAAATATACATTCTCCAGAGGATTTTAACAGGACCCTCTGTTGCCATCACTCCTCGTTACTCTTTACCTAGTTATTCCCTATTTATCCTTAAAAATCCAGCTTAGGCCTCATCTCCTCCAAAAGCTTTCCTTTTCTGTGCCAGGCTTAACTAACTACAAGAACTTCCCCTCCCTCTTCCTTAACAAACAATGAAGAGCTATTAGGTATTTACCTTGTTACATGGAGATTTTCTGGTCGCATCTCACCTCTGCAGGGGTTGATGAGGTTTTAGTCTCCAGGTCACCAGAACTCAGCTTGGTGCTTAGCACATGGTAAAAGTTAGTACTGCTACCAATAATGATAAATTATAAGTGTAGTTTGTACAGTAAAAAATGTCTATAAAGTTAAATCTGTTCACCTAAACATATCAAAATTGCCTAAAGTATTTTTTAACAAGGCAGTCTTTATTTTTTAAAAACTTAATACAACACTATTGCAGTAATTTATTATATATCAGAGACAGAGAAATACTCCAATGATGTAACCCATATGGACGTCAAGCAAGTCTGGCAGTCCTGGGAAAAGGCTATTGCTTTAAATATTGATTAGTAATGACTGGACCTGCATGGAGTGATCTTCTGAGGAAATGGAAGGAAGTGGCAGTGTTGGAAGCTTGCGGGGAGAGGTCCCAGACAATCCCAGTCAACAGCAAGCATGTTTATTTACATAGAAAAGGATAACATTAGCAACAAAATTTGTCTAATATCAATTTGAGTAAATGCTTTCCCCTTAACTGTTCAGGGCTCAAAACATTCCTATTTTGTACTTGTAGTAGGGGAAAACAATGTTTTGGCTGTCTCCCCACATACACTTTCCCCATTTTCTAAGAAAGATGTGGCAGGCAGAAAGCAAATCGTTGAGGGACTTCCTAGCTTTTATATTTCAGAAATCTAGATTTCACTCTACTTTGTTGTTAATCGTTTTACCTGAGGTGGTAGGACAGGGCAGGGAGAGGAAAAATAAGGATGAAGATAAAACTTGTTTTGAAAGAAATTTTTGATCGAGAACCACCTACCTATACCTTAACTGAAAATCAGTCCTTTAACAGAAAGATCTTCCTCTTCTACAGATGCATAGCTTAAGAGCAAATGCAAGTGAGGCAATGAGAGGTGGTAGCAGCACCTGCAGGCCAGCCAGATTCCCCTCACAGTACATACTTATCCCAACAGTAAACCTACCTTCCTGGTGTAAAAATGGCTGGACAATGGAATGGCTGACCAGAAGTTCAACAAGGGAATGATATCCCCCACGGTCCCAACAAAGTCTCAGGCATGTCATCAGCCAGAAAACTCAGGAAGTGTTACTCTGATCAACTGAGGGAAGTCGCCTAACCTATTCTGGGATGTTCGAACGTACAGTCCTCTGGAAAAATCCAGGGCTGAGGGAGGGCTGGTAAAATTTACCATTATGAATTGTTATACACAGTCAGGCACATAGAAAATATTTATTAGAACATCATTCATTATAGATAAAGAAAAGATATATTTTCTCACTAAAAATCACAGAAGGATTGGCAGGGGTGGGTCCCATCCCCAGCCCTGATGGAAGCAGGATTCTGTGGGTGGGAGGAAGACGAGGGAGAACCTGTCTATGTGAATTTATTAAGCAATTAAAAAGCAATCTCCTGAAAGCACCAAAACTGCACAATAAACTTTTTCCTCTAAAGTACAAACATTTAGCTTCACCATCATCCCCAAACATCAAAAAAGTAAAAATTTTCCCCAGGAAATGCAGGTCCAAACTTTGGGTTTTACACAAAGAACCGGGAGCCACGCAGGTACTTGTTCAGAGGCCACAGGTTGCTCCCTCCCTCGTTGGAGGTTCTCCTCTGGCACTGCTTGCAGCGCCGATACTTCTCACACTGGTCCAGGAGGAAGAGCTTGTCTGAGGCCCTGAGGAGAGGCCAGGAAAAGCAGTCATTAGTAGGTGCACCCTGAGTCTTTGCTGGGGGCCTAGCTGGGAAGCCAGTGCTGTGGAAGGGACCTTGGAAGGGATAAAAAGGAAAGGTATCGCTTGTCCCCGCCCTCCAGCATTTACCAGCCACCTGTCATCTCCCACTTGCAGTCTCTCTCCCTCTACGCTGCTACTTGCAGTTCACCCCAGTTCAGCTTGTCCTCTCCCGCTTCCAAACCTCCACTATCTCCTTGTTCCCCAGTAAATAAAAGGCTCTGACTTTGGTGCCTTCGCAACAGTCTGATCCCAGCTCCACTTCCCAGACACACCCACCCAAGTCCTCAGAGAACAGTAACTTGCCCAAGGTCACACAGCCAGCGAATGGTGGCTCCAAAGCCTCTGTGTTTGCTGCTTTGCCATGTGCATGCACTTTTACCTGGTAGGCTCCCAGGAGACAGTGTTTGAGCGAGGGATCAGGTCATTAAGCTGCTGGTTAACAGTTAACACCCCAGTAGCCAATTAAGAGTAGACTTGCAGTGAAAAGTTTCAGGAGGCCAGAGGCCTCTGGACAGACATGGGGCAGGAGAGGGAATGGAGATGAAGAGGACAAAAGAGGCTCAAAGCAGAGACGAAGGGATGGCAGTGACTGATTTCTGCTTCAGTGATTTTTCTTGATTATTCAGGACAGGGCCCAGCATGTTTCCCCACCCTATCAAAATTTCTACATGGGTGGAATTCTATAAAAAGGAGCATCAAGAACAACTTTAAAAGGAAAAAGAACAATCCTGGCAATGGGCAGGGGAAGACCTACCTGGCTTGCTTTGATAATGATACAGAGTCTCAGGTGCTAACTACATACATTTAAATCTTGTTTTTGCTTTTGCTTTGTTTACTTTTTAATACCAATCAATTCCTTCTTTCTGCCTTCTGCCTGCTGGAGTCCCTGCCCACGTTGGCCTAGGCCTTCAGGGACTAGGTCTGCTCTGCCATGTCCTGGGAGCAGCTCTGTTATCCTGCCATTCTAGGTTATTTCCTCTGTCTCCACTGTCCTTGATCACCATGTTAGCCAAGACTTCTGAAATCCAACTGAAATCTCCCTGGCATTAATGTCACTACCTTTTACCTGCTTCCCTCAACACTTCCAACACTGAGAAAATGGCTTGAAATCCCCAAGCCCCCTTTCCTTTCCTCATCCAAACCACCCCTCTTCCCCTTTGGAACCAATTTCTCATGTCATCCCTCATACTGTCATTGTCGCAAAATATGGAGTTCGCCCATTAGAAAGACAGGCGAGAAATGCCTTAAAAGAAAATCTAAAAGGAAAGAGAAAGTTACATATCAAGACACATTATAATAAATTTTACCTATGATAAAAATTAGTTGATAATTGGCAATTTAAAATATTATTTTAGTATATTCAGTTTTAATAACATTTGATTTTATAGGCTTGGTCTGTTTCTTCAAGTTTTTAACACTCTATTAAATCATATTTTACAAAGTGCTTTAATTTTTTAAATACTTTTCCACCTCTTTATTTGATCCCCCAAACTCCTATGTTACATAAGTCAGGCAAGTGTTTACGTTCCCCATCTTACAAAGAAGAAAAGTCAAAAATATTATCTGCCTCTCCAAAGTCAGTGTTAATTTTCAAAGCCATGAGTAGAATCCCTGACTCTAAATTGTAAATAGATAGCTTGTGGACAGAGGACAGGGATATAATAATACATTTCAGGAGGATGTTCTTGGTTTGTTCCCTAATGGGCTTCTCACATTTCCAGTTGCCAATCTTACCCACAACCCATTAACTCTGCTCTTAAATGACCATTCTGTAAGCCTTGGATGTGTTCAGATGGAAACTCACTCTTCTTATTTCCTTCTAGTTATTTCTAAAGAGAATTCTCACCCTCTTTCCTCCACAAAAAGAAAATAAAGCCACCCTATGCAGAGGCAAAGATTAGGGCAGGGATGGCAACTATATAATATACAATACAGTATTCTTCAACCCCATATTCATAATAGACATTTCTAATACATCATAGCAGTTTTTCCAACTGAACCCAAATTCTTTTCTTCACAAAGTTCTCTAGGTAGCCACAACTAATCGACTGGAGTTGGCACTTGCCATCCCTGGATTAGAGGAAAGTAAAAAAGGAGCAGAGGATATTTTCTTTACAAGCAAAGAACCTGTGGTTCAAATCAGGTATTACCGCTCGAAAGCCTTCTCCTCCAGGTCTCGCTGCCTCTTCATTGCTGCGCTCTTTTCCCAATCCTCCTGTAAGCTTTGGTTCATTCTGTTCACGCGCTCCAGCTCAGCATTTCTGTCTGCCAAGCGCCTAGAGAGAAAAGAATACTCTGATTCCTTCTCAATACTGGGAAGGGCATGCACCAACCTTGGGAGCCCCCAAATGGAGTTTTCTGGTTGATGACACACCTGAGGCTTTGTTGGGATCTTGGGGAATATCATTCCCTTGGTGACCTTTTGGTCAACCATTCTATTGTCCAGCCATTTTTATAGGAAGGTAGGTTTATTGTTGGGATAAGTGAGGGGAATCTGGCTGGCCTGCCAGCTGCCACCACCACCTCTCATTCCTTTTATTGTAAATTATACAAAAACTTTCCAGTTTTGTTCACTAGTCTTTTGCAATATACTAACAGACATGAACACTGTAAAAAAACAAAACAAAACAAAACAAAACAAAAAAACATAGTGAAACTCCTAGCTTTTAAAAAATTTATGGATCTAGGACCTTTCATCTTCAATCCTGGTTTAAGTTAGCAGGATTGAAACCTTTTTCCAATTAGCAAATTCAGCCTTTAAAGTCATTAATTTCCTTCCAGGCTAATTTAACTGATCTGAAGAATCATCTCAAATGGATTTCCAATACTTTATGTTTTTTCCCTTTTATTCCAGCCTTCTGCTGTCAGTAATCAGCCTAGTGATTGCTATAGGCATTTTACAAGACAAAGTATACAGGCATATAAAAGAGAAAAGAAACAGAAGTGACTAGGCAAAAGAAAATAAAATCAAGAATAACATTATGAAGAAGGTAGAACAAACAAACAAAAAAAGGAGTGTTTGGTAAAGGTCGTATCCTTCAAAGAAGTGACTGCAATATCTCTCTCTTCAAGTACAATGTCCCAGTAGTCCCAATGTTAAGTACTTCTATTACTGATCTCCAAACACATTGTCATTGCTGTTGTGAATCACCTTAAATCTGGTTCAAATTATTTATATATGTCTATTTCTTGCCAAACTGAAACTCTTACTGTTCTCAATAAAACCTAAAAGAGACTTCACTAAATGTGACTGTTGACTTAGCCCACTCTGAAGGGCTTTGTGTCACAAGTAGCAACCACCACTAGGTGTCAGGACTCTTCAATGAAAACCAATAATGTGCTCTGTGCTGGTTCGCTTTCCCTAAAATAGCAGGGCCACATTTTCCTCTAACAAGCATTGGTTTAACAGCTATTATGAAGTCATTATAACGATTAAGTGAAATAATTTACAGAAAGTGCCAATGCCTATCACACAATGGAAGCTCAATGACTGGTATCTATTATATGTATTTTTTATAACTTGTTTTCTTTTCACAGTTTTTAAAATTATAGTAAAAAACACATAAAACTGACCATCTTAACCACTTCTAGTGTACAGCTTATTTAGTATTAAGTATATTAACATCGTGCAACCAATATCCAGAACTCTTTCCACCTTGCAAAAATGAAACTCTTTACCTATTAAACAACTCCCTACTTCTCCCTCCCCCTGATTTCTGGCAACAACCATTCTACTTTGTTTCCATGAATTTTACTACTCTACTATATATAAGTGGAATCACATAACTATTTGTCTATGACTTGCTCATTTCACTTAGCATAATGTCTTCAAGGTTTATCCAAGTTTTGACATGTCAGAATTTCATTCCTTTTTAAGGCTGGATAATATTTCATTGTATGTGTATAGCACATTTTGTTAATCCATTCATCTGTTGCTCAGCTATTGTGAATAATGCCGATATGAACATTAGTGTGCAAATATCTCTTCAAGATCCTGCTTTCAATTCTTTTGGATATATACCCAGAAGCGTGATTTCTGGATGATATGATAGTTCTATTTTAAATGTTTTGAGGAACTGCCATACTGTTTTCCATAGTGGCTGCACCATTTTACATTCTCACCATCAGCGCACAAATATTTCAAATTCTCCACATCCTCATCAACACTTATTATTTTCTGTTTCTTTGATTTTAGCCATGCTAATGGGTATGAGGTAGTATCTCATTGTGGTTTTGATTTGCATTTCCCCAATGACTGTGACATTGAGTGTCTTCATGGCTCGTTTGCCCTTTATA